GGTGGAGCAGAGAGAGTGATTAGGGAGCAAATGCGTTCTTTAAAGTTTTAAAGTGAAGTGTTGGCAGAATAGTGACCTGCTTCTTCAGTCCCTTCCCTCCTGTAAAATGGATGATGTGTATGGAATATTGCCCCTTTCATAAAACACAGGTCTGCTTGTCATCTTACTTTTCTGACCTTTTAAGTTTGCACCTTTAAAGTCTTTGTGGTATATTTTCAATGTAGACATTTTTTAACCATTATGAAAATGAATTACCTCCTTTTCCTGCTGCTTAATTATTCAAAGTCTCAGATTGGTCAAAAGGAGGATCAGTAGATAAGATACTACCCCCAACAAAAAGTAGCACACAATCAGCAGCACACCACTCTTATGCATCCTCTCTCTTCTTGAAAAATCTTGAAAAATGTTTGTGGGTTGAAAATGGCTCAACACGCCCTCTACTGTTTTAAATCACCCTGGATCTTGTAAGCCCGATGACATAGAGTTGACAGTTTGGGACTACTTTACAGTATGACATTTTGTGTATATTATTTTATGAAAGGTATAAATCATTTGCATTTGTTGTCCTTATTGACCATTCTGTGAGGGAACTGGGTAACATTCAGTTTTAAATAATGTCGCAGAGAACCGCAAAACAGTTACCATCCCGCTCTCATCCACTAACACATCATCCGGTTTACCATCTACTGTTTGCCTGAATTTATGTGAATGCAGCATTAGCATCTCTGAGCCGTTTAGCTTAGCTCCAACACAGCCACTAGCACAGCTAAAACCAACTGTGAACCTATCGTGACGTCACCCATTGGTTTGTGGAGTACCGTTCTGAAGCCTTGAGTTTGGCATTGTGGTTTTTGTCATAATGGTTTGTCGAGCCAGCAGAGGCGACGTGCTGTGAGTTGAGCTGCGCTCATTGGCTGCTCAGTTTCAACTTGTCCGTAGCAGGGTACCAGCAGCGCTGCCTAGTTTGACAGTTGAATTGAGTTTTGTGTAGTCCACTAAACAGACTCACGGAGAATTACTTGTCAATCTAAAGGTAGCCACGCCCAAAAGCTTGATGCTTCATCATCTATTTTACTCTTAACTGGACCATATATACACAAAATGAACATTGTGTTGCGTGGAAGAAGACTTGAAACTAGAGACTAAGACCATAAACTCTTAGGAAAAAGTTTACTGAGCTAATAACAAGTGAGAAATAGGCTCATTTTCCCATCAGACTGCATGGTATAATTGTTTTATTGCAGCCAATGGAGCTGCCCCCTACTGGCCATTACATAGAAGGCTTGTTTCCTCTTCCGTGTTGGCTTCACTTCACAGGACTGGAAGCTCTGTCCATTATATATACTGTCAATGACTATAACACAGATACCACACCTCTCCAGCGCGGACAGGGACAGTCTGAAAGCAGCTGCCCATTAGCTCTGCCTAACAACTCGCTGTTCCTGCTACACTGCTGTGGTCAGTCTCTCAATCACTGTGGTCGGTGTTAAGGCCACGCCCCCTACAGCCCCTTTGCAGCTTTCTGATGCATTTCTTTAAATTGCTGAGAGGGAGGGAACTAGTAGAGTTGAAGGGTGTAGATACACTAAAAGGCTGAATCTCTCCACTGCAACAAGCAGCTGGGGTAGTTGTGCTTCAAGCAACCCTTTTTTTCTCTTTTTATGTGGAAAAACCATGTTAAAAAAACGTAAAAGTATTATAGTAAGAGTAAGTAGTATAATAGTATTTTACTTACTTAAAAACATGTCTGGAGGGTAACTTTAATTTTCAGTGAAATATGATGTCAAGTCAAGTCAGTCAAGTAATCAGTGTGGATTTGTATAAATAATTCATGCTGATTTATAGGCTAATGGAGTGTTACTGTCTGTCATTGTCATATCCAGAAAAGAGTAGTAAGAGGGTGAAGAAAACACCACGTGTGTGTGTGTGTAAGATCCCAAAAAAAGGAGAAGAGATAGGGGAGAAAAAACAAGGTTGGACAGCCCGCCAAACGCATGTGTCAGAGAAGATAAGACTCACAAAACACGTGATACAGCAGGATGTACTCTACCACATCCGTTCCGCCCCAAAACACACACTCATTTCCTGTGTATGATCCAACGCTCTTTTCTGCTGCAGCTTATCATAGGACTTCAGACACAAAGGTAAAATAACACATTTGAATGTATTTTCTGCATGTTTGTGTATTTGAAAAGATATTTAAACATATTAAGTTAAAAGCTATTGTGGAGAATAGAAGGACAGACCAAACAAACACTGATTTTACAGTTGTTAAACTGTAGAAAGTGCCTTAAAAACTATTAATTGAAACTAAAACCGTTAAACATCTACTGCATCACAGTTCTGATATTCTAATATGTAACACATTTATATTAAAATACAAGATAGATGCAGATCAAAAACGTTTTTGTTATTTCACTTTCACAGGGTCAGCTGTCATAAAGCCACTACATAATGACAGCAAGTTTGGCTGTTCTCAGGACTGAATGGAGCATTTAAACACTTTCCAAATGACAGATTCACAGAGCTGACACTGAAGAAATAACATCATGGGGAGCCAATGCTCAAAACTCAGGAGGGGCGAATCAAAGAGAAAGGAGTGTTACGAACCTGATCAGAAGAAAGATGAGGTTTCCACCACAGTGAAAAGTGGAGAAAAATCTAATTTTCTCCAAAAAAGGCCATGTCTGCAGGAGGAGGAGGGAGTCGTAAGGGAGACAACAAATGAGGGAACTTTAGGGAGGAAAGAAAAAATAGAAGCTTGCTCTGGAAAAATGGGTTTTCATGAGAAGAGCAGCACTCTGCCACAGGAATACACTGTGGTTGAAGTTAACACCCCAAGGTGAGACTTCATCATCAGCATAATCTTTTCTGCATTGACACTAAAACGGTGTTTCTGTGCGTACATAAATAAATTCATGTAAAATATACTGTACACTGTAAATATGATAAATATGAACAGATTATAAAATAAGCAGTAGTTAGAAGAAGGGTTGGGTACTGAACTTTGATACTTTTATGGCACTGACCAAATTGCTTTGATACTGTCGAATCATTCAAATGTCGATCGTAGCATAGGCGTCACAAAATTATATAATATTAAAAGCTCTCTTGCGTTTCTATAGACAGAATCCATTCATCTGTTATCAAGGTTTTTATTGTATTGTATTTATCAATGGCAAACTCAGCATAGAAAGATAGGGCTGGCAGCAGCAGAAATGCTCTCTGTGTGGTCACCTCAGGCGTACGAGCTACAGCAATTCAAGTAGGCAGCCGGACAGAAGAGGGGAAGGCCATGGTGGATACAAACGTTTCAACAACAACTGGCTGATTATGCTCCTTTGAAAATTTCAAATATGACTTTGAATATATTCTTATTAGGGACCGAGCACTAACAAGT